CAAACTTCTAACTGCATCTTCCTCTCCTTCACAACAACTAAATTACATCTCCTGCGTGCTTTTACGTGACCGTTTAGAAAAACTAAACACAATCAAGCTCTAGTTTTTTTCCTGTCCTCCTGCTTCATATAATCTAATAAAATTACTACAAATTACCTCGTTAAACCCAAACAACTAGCATAGAGCACAGAGCATAGAGCACAGAGCACAGAGCGAGCATTTTCTTCTGAAAAACAGAGCTGGATTTAGATTCAACTGTATTTTTTTTATTAAACAGAGACGTGCAATAACAGACTGTGCAATAACCTTAAATAATATGCACATTTTGAAATACAGCAAAGTCTTTACGCTAATCAATTACCCTTCAATGATGCCACTAGCACTTACATTTTTTATGTTTAAAGTGTTTCTATAGATCTTTCTGCCTTGTGCATTGTAAGGTGGTCAACTGCACTGATGTCTCACTGAGGCGAAGACCAAGCTCCTAGAAACTGGCTGTGGTTCTTCTGGACCTCAATTTTGCAATTGACATCTGCTTTCCTGAATCCAAGATTGAAGATGCACATGATTTCCTACATGAAGTCAAAAGTGCTGCCCAGGGAACCGGTGTCCACCTTGAAATCTCAAACTAATATCAATGCACCGGCCGACTGCTTTATTCTACTCACCAAGGACAGATCTACCATCAAATGCGGGAGCATCTTGCCAAGATGTGGAAGGCTCTGAGTAAAAGTTAGCCAGACTTAAAGTGTTTAAGTCGTGTGTTGATGTGATCCTGCTCAGTGAGTCTCTACAGTTGCCCTTGAACAAACTGCTGAGCAAGAAATTGGATCAAAACCAAAACTGCATGCTTCGTGCCACCCTTAATATTTCCTGGAAGAGCCACATCGCCAAGGCCGTATCTATAGGACCATTCATTCATTGAGTAGAATTATCTTGCTGATTTCTTATTCACTAAAACTGTTCATTTTCATTTTGTTGGAGTACAATGAAACCTATTTTAAATAGCTAGCATGTGAGTGAAAAAATAAAAAAGTGACATTAAAAAAAACAAAAAAAAACAACACATCAGATGTTTTGCATAAAGTTTTCTGTCATCTTGTCACGGCAAGGCAGACTCTGGGAGAAAATCCATGGGAAATGAAAGCAGGGTGCCAGTAAAGCCGATGAGGGTGTGCAGCACAGAAAGATGGGATGAAGCACTCTGCACTGATCAGCAGTGCCTTTCTCAAAGAGTCACATGTTCATTAAGTCACAAACAGAACAGAGGCTGTTGGAGCGCATTTTACAACAAGAACATAACCCAGAACAGACAAACATTCTTGATTTATGTGTTTAAACTTTAACAGAGACAAAGAGGTCTCTGAAAAGCCACGCCTCCTCTCCTTCATGCTAAGACATTAAGAGTTTTTTTGTGTAACTGTTAGCTGGATTGTTCAGAAAAAACAAAAACTAGAGCTGCAGTCAAAAAAATGTTTTGACTGAAGTCATATCAAACCACTATCAGTCTTAATAAAGTACAAATCTTTTTAAAAAAATTGCTATTCACAGCAGAAATAACTATAATAGAGCTTACCAGTAACCCAGGCATGGGCAGTCACAAGTCAGTGCACTTGTAGGTCTGGTTAAACAGAAAAGGTTGCACGGATGCTCGAGGGTATCCAGCATAAAATCTTTGGAAGTATGTTCTACCCCTACCCCTATGATTACCCCTATGAGAAGAACCACAACTCAAATATCTATAGTATCATCTTCCTAGTCATGTAAGATATTTTTTGGCAAGATTTGAGAGGTTTTATAAAAGGTATTGCAACACAAAGTAGGTACTCTCGGCTGCTCCTTTATTTCCCAAGGGGGCTCACCACAGCGGATGGATCCATGTTTGACTTGACACAGATTTTACACTTCATGCCCTTTCTGATGCATTTATCTAGGCTTGGAACTGGAACTATGAGTACACTAGCTTGTGAACCCCCAATGCTAGATTAGTGTCTCCTAGGACTGAAAAAAAGGATCTTTCACATGTAAGGTGAATACATTACCCACACCAGCTTATAGGTCTTCTGAATTAAGATTAGACCAAGGTGACAAAGACTAAGTGTTAAGTTGTTAAGTTTTTAGTATTCAGTTTACATTTTTGATGTTCTAATGCCTTCATTTCAGTTACCTAAACCTAAATTACCCTTAGTTTTATTTTCAACAATAATGACCTTAACTGTGTCACCCAATTTGACATAATCAATTAGGGTGGGTGAATTTAAAGGTGTGGAAACTTTAACAGGTAATCTTTTTCCCCCTCTGGCCAAAAATAAAACTGATTAACTCAAGAATACAGCTATTGATGTAGCACTCTTCTACACCATCAACAGTCAAACCAATGCAAATTTGGCTGGATGAGAGTTTATGAACCAAATCAGTTGACACGGCGACTACGGGGGTGTTAAAAACAGAAAAACGACTTTATAAAGTAGTCTTCAAGAGATATTTTCTTCACAGCATTTGGAGGGAGTGAGTGGGGGATTGTGAAATGATATTTTGACAAGCAAAATGGGTTACGAGCCACTTTTCAGTGTAACATCTTTTATTTAATTAACTTCTTGCTATTTTGGTTTTGGGTGCAGGTCTTTTAACAAGTTACACAAAGTAAGTTTTAGAAACTTCACCACAGATGCCTCTCAGGGGAGACCAGCACTCTGTTGGACATGTTTTTCTGCTTTGCTGAATCCTTCTGTCAAAAGGCAGCAGCTTGATTACCCCCAGCAGTGCGAGCGGCTTTCATTTTGTGCTATAAACAAACTAAATCTTTAAAGAATCTGCATTTTGCTCAGTGGCTGCTTTCTTTCTTTTTTTAAAAATAAATGTCAGAGTATTAATTTTGTGTAAGTCACTGAGTGCGTGTCACTGTTAAAGCTGTTTTTTTCCCCTAATTTTAATCCAGCCTAAACAGGCCGACTCTGTCCTGGATTGAGTTAGAAAATACTTTAATTGATTGAGTGAGATGTTTGAGGGTTTATGAGTTACTGTTAAGCAAAGTGGAGTTATTTTATGTCAGGGGACTCATAAAATTCAAACTCAATTACCGTCAGTCACTAACTGGCCTCACTAGACACTAACAGAGCCTGATCTGACTTGATGCTGTTAAACATTCCATACTATACAAAGAAATAACAGAATCGCTAGCAGAGACTAGGCAGCAGTGAGTCACTCTGGTGAGAAATACCCTGCTTATGCAATCACTGTGTACCTTGGTGGTGTTGAGCTTGCTGTGGTGCAGCTCCAGGACCTGCAGGGCTGCCTGGAGGTTGGCCTGAGGCTCAGAAAGCTCCATCTTAATTGGCCCCAGGCAGTGGACGTCAGGAGGTGACAGGTACATTCGCAGCAGAGAAAGATAAACCTACAGAGCAGAAATACAGCTGTTAATAACGTGCTTAATTGACAAACTAGCACCTCAAGTTATGGCCAAAAACCTGTCTCGTGAGGTTTGACTACTAACGCTTAAAGCACCTCATCCTCGAGTCCAAGTGAACATTTCTGCCAAGCATACATAAATTTAAAGAGGCATTCAAGAGAACAGAACAGGCAGACAAACAGGCCAACAACATGCTGTCATGTCAGCTGTCATTTCTAGTTAAGTGAGGAAGAAATCTTTTTTTTTAAATTTTTTGTAAAGCTGGCAATGCTCCTTGCAGCATAAATAATTCATTATAGTTGTATAGCATGTTCTGTGAACACAAATGTGCTTATCAGAAGGCAGCAAAGCATACAAACTGAAAAATGTGGTCATAAAATAATAAACATAACTTTAATAAAATCCAGGAGGACACAACAAACTCAACAACCTAGAATTACACTGAAAACTACTTACATCTTTATTTCCTTCCACTGAACTGTTGTAATGTCCGTGACAGTATCTGCAAAGAGCACACAGAAAAGCATTAGCAAATACATGATAATATAAAATTGCTCTTTTTAGTGCTATGATGTTGACTGATTGGACAAACACAGCACTGCAGGTAATTACACTGGCTCTGCCTTGCAGAAAATGCTGTTAAATATAGAGCTACTTTCAGCTGCTCCCTTATTCACAAGGCGTCACCCTTCAGGCAGCGGCCCATATTTGATTTGGCAAGTTTTTAAACAACGAATGCCCTTTCTCATGCAACCCCGAAGGGGTTTGTGCCTCCTCTCGGGATCAGGCCAGAATCCTTCACTTGTTGGGCCAAATATGTAAACCACTACTCATAGTCAGGGCCCCAACTATATGATAAAGCATATAGTTGGGGCTGGATCAGTGAGGGTTTCTTTTTCACTCACTATGTGTTTAGACACCACTTTTCATGTAATCATTAGTTATTAATAATCTGACTCTCTTCCTCTTTTGTTCTTTGTGGTGGCAGATGCCCGCCCATTCCCAAACCTGGTTCTGCCAGAGGTTTCTTCCTGTTAAAAGTGAGTTTTTACTTCCCACTGTCCCCAAGTGCTTGCTCACAGGGGGTTATTTGATTATTGGGGTTTCTCTGTCTTATTGTGGGGTCTTTACCTTGTGATGTAAAGTGCCTCACAGTGACTATTGTTGAGATTAGGCGCTATATAAACAAAACTGAATTACACTATGGAATCCAAAATGCATGTAAATATGACTTCAGGAAATGACCTAAGTTCGTGACTGAGTCAGGAAATACTTTGACAGTTTAACATCAGCCATATTAGCTGTTGATTGGTGTTACTTTTCAGTTGTGCAGGAATACTCACTCTTCAGCCATGTGGGTGTCTTTCAAGATGTGTACATAGATGAAGAGCGCTTGCTCATGTTTACCCATACGACCCAGAAGCAGAGCCCGTTCCTCCAGCAAGCCTTCAACATGGAAACAAAAGTCAAGGATCATGGCACAGTTAAACTCACGTCTTTATTTGTATTTCCCAAGCAAACAGTAGATAAAACCTGTCATCTCAATGTAAGCAACATCCTACCATCAAAGGGGAAGTCACTGATGAGTCTGGCAGGCTCATAGCATGTAGAAATATCCAGGAAAGTCAACAGCTTGTTCCTGAACTCTCCCAGTTCACCATTCTCTTTCCCTGCAGGAACAGCTGAAGCGCCTACAATAACAGAGCATTTTATTACAGAGATGTTCAGATAATAGGTGAGTCTGTGGAGAAAAAAAAAGAAGCTATTTCCGTTTTTAAGAATGGGTGTTGCTCTTCATATTTGTCTACAGTGGTTATTGCCATTTTGGGGGGTTTTAGATCACTTGTGATGTAGAAGTAGTAACATAAGGGTTTGTCTTACTGTTCTTTGACAAATTATAACTATATTAATCAAATAAATAAATAACTGAATTATTAAATTCCAGAAAAGGTAAATATCATGATGATTTATCATATGCCCAAAGTAAAAATATATTTAACCACATATATTCCCAGCCTTGTACCCAACGATCACAATAAGCCTAGAGAAACTCTTTAATATTGAGGGCTGTGTGTGCTTGCATTCCAGTTTATCATGAAATGCAGCAATAGCTGGCCCAAAAATCGGGTTTTTCTTATTTCATTAGCTGTTTTTAAGTTTTATGGGGGTTTGGTTTTTGTTTTTAAACAGAGTGCACATTAACGAGCATTCCTGCTTGGAGGCGCATTAAAAGGTGTTTCAAGAGTAAGAGATGGATGGACCTGATAATCAGTTCTGACACAGACTTTATTTGCAACAGCGGTGAGAGAATACTCTCTGCAAGAAGAGCCAGAGTGAATCCATATGCAGTGCGGTAATGAAATCAAATAAAAATTCTAAAATACAATTAAAAAATAAAGTCTTTAAAAGTGAACTCAACTTCAAAAAAGGCCAGGTTTGCTAGAAAGCCTTCAAAGCTCCAAGGTCACATCACCCTGCTACTCTGATGCTACAATTACACTCCTCCACATTTCTCCACAGCAAAAGGAGGTTATTGTGTATGTTAACTAATAATTTATCAATGTGATATGTGCCCAACAACGCAACTTATTTTCATAGCCTAACAGGAAAAAAAGGCTAACTGTAAAACTTTTTCATGCCCAGACACTCAGTATACTCAGGTTTATTCTTGCTCATACCTTTAGGCAGCAACTTGAGGTACTCCTTCATGAGGACTTGAACCCTTCCCAGGTAGAGCTGGATTAGCACATTGTGAAACTCGGGACCCTGCTCTTCCCACACGTAAATGATGTGCTCTAAATATGGGATGGCGAGCTCCTTAAAACCATCCTTTAGAAACTGCAGCACCTTGTCTCTGGGCAACGACTCCACTTCTGTCAGGTCTTCTGTAAAGATCTGAGCAGGAAGACAGGTTTTTACTCCAGTGGGTAATAAAAAGGAAGTCGTGGCAATGCATGTAAATGTTGTACCCACCTTCAGGCCATCTTCAGGACACGTCTTCAGCACCCAGGGAGAAAACTCAAAGATTATACCCAGATTCTCTGCTCCTGTGTGCACAGAGGTCTTAAGATGGCTAAGTGGGCTTAACTTACAACTCGAATCATTAGGTTTTAATCAGCCTGTAAACATTTCCGACCTCAGGGAATAATTAATTATAAGAAAATTAACATATTGTTTGACTGGACTCCAATGCAATAACATGAATACATTTATACAACTGAACAAGTTCAATACTGCACAAAACAACAAATGAGTTTTACTGTTGTGTCCTGGATTTAGAATTTTGTTGCGAACGGAAAATAATAATAATAATAATACTAATGATAACTGAATAAAACAGTTTTGGACTTTTTAAAATAAATAAATATTTTAAATAATTAAACACAGCTAATTGAAGCAAATGAAACTGTCCCAGTGAAGCTGGAAGAGACCACAGTTTCAGAGGGTTGTTGTTGAGTTTAAAATAACATTTACAATAAACAAAAACACAATCAAATGCCAAATGATATTCTTAAAGCACAGTTGAAACACAGACTACTGAAAGAATTTTAATCATTTCATTATAAAGACTCATTCTAGTCATTACCTTATTCACCTCATAGGAATTCAAAAAGTACTACAGCAATTTTAGCTGTTGAACACCCAGTAAGCAAACGGTATATAGATGTAAAGTTTCATAGCAAAACAAACGAAATAAGAAAAATAATATAATTTTTTTAAACGCTCCCATGTAATTAAACTCAGACACGCAAATCACTGCAGATCAGTTATATCCAACATCCATAATCAATCAACATGAATGTTTTCTCTGAGAATTTTCCAAAATCCCATCAACAAATTTAACAGGCTTGAGCCAGCTGTTGATCCTTACCCAGTCTTTGGAGGTACTGCACTGTTCGCTCATGGCCCTTAAGTGGAGAGTTGGCCTTGGTGGATTGGTCGAGCAGCACCTGCAGAGCTGCGAGAGTGTAAACAGGTTTGAAAAAAAAAGTAACGAGAGGTGAATAACAGAGGAACTAGAACAAAAGTGAAGTCTGCCTGAGTGAAAGTAGCAAGATGTGGTCTGCTCTGCTCTGCATTACATAAGTCCTCCACCAACAGAAATTGGTCGAGGCATATGCAAAGTGTTAATCTGTGTTTTGGAACAGCTGGTTTGAATTGGCAGACGCAGAGAGAGGCAGACTTGAGCAGTATGACATCACAAGCCCAAACTGCAGCAGGCCAATTAAAACCAAATGCACTTTCTGCGAGAACAGCCACAGAGTACCAGCAGAAACAAAGAGCGTTAAGGCAGCTCTGATTCACAAGGATGACCAGTCGACCTCATGCAGGAAACCTCCTCTGAGATAATCTGTGCAACCGCAGCTACGAGTTTATAACTTAAACATACTGAAATGGTTACGCTCACAATGGCTTTTGTGTTTGGGAGGTAATGACAAGACCGCTGACAAAAGCAGAGCAGATCTGTGATCAAATGAGCTGCCACTTATATAGCGAACTCCGAATACAACATCCAAAGCTGGAAACAGATGTCTCAATGCATTTTATTATTATGCATTCAGTTGCCATGCTGAGTTCTGCAACAGATAAACCACACTGACAAATCACTTTAACTGTGATGGCAGTCATTATTCAGCTGATTGACATATCTGTTCTCTGCAGCTCATCAATTCAAAAGATATTTCACAGCGTCACTTATATTTTAAACAAGTGCATACGCATCATGGCAAAAGAGACAAAAAGAAAATTAACTTGCATGTATTAAACACCGACAGTAATTTGAATTCTCTCAAAGATGGACTTCAACCAGCTAAAGGCAAACACTTAAGGTTTGGTGTACAACAAGCCATTGTTCAAGCTTTGTTTCTTGATTATAAAAATATGGAAAATAAGGGGGGAAAAAAACCCAAAAGCCATCCTCTCTTATTCCCAGTTTTAAAAAGAGAAAGTCAACCAACATGTCGACAAGCTTGAGAGAGAAATGACTTGACTTTGAACTCTCACTTGAACCCAACAGCGTGATACCTGCCAGTTTTCCAGAGGAGTCAAACACAGCTGAAGGTGTATAAATCTTATCCATTTCACTTGAATTATTATGATCTAAATCACACTTAATCAAATGGAATTCAAGTTGTTATTCCAAAGAAACTTCTCCCTGCAAATCCACTTGAAAGGATCCATGCTTTATATTCTGTTTGTAAGACTGATCACTTTCAGTGTGTGAAAAGAAAAAATGTTTTAAATATTTTACCTTACATCAATAATGAATACAGCAATCTCATTTATCATTATCAGAAGAAGATGACAAACAAGTACCCTAATAATACAAAGGCCATCTAACATGGAAAATTTATGAGATTTTAGGATTTAAAAGTCAGCAGCTTGACAATTACCTTTCTGGTGCAGGCCCTTCTTTTCATAGAGAATAATGAGCTCACTGTACTTGTGAGCCTTCTTCAGGACATACTCGCTCTCCTCGATGTGGCAATGATTGTTCTCCAGACGAAGGAGGGGGGACACAAGGGCCACGTTTGTCTGGATGAGGTGAGGATAAAAAGCAGATCACCGTTTCTGTTGCTATTTATTATTTAAGCAATCTGGCACGTATTCCCGGCATCCCAAACACGCGCTCATATTAAACTAGCTGCAGAGGACTTTAAGGCAAATTCAGACAGTTAAGCTGCTAATGCTAAGCCCAAGCAGTAAGCAGAGAAACTTGCTTACATACATCTTATCCCACATTCCAACGCAAGTTACCATTTCTCCATAGATGAGGACTGAAACTAAGTTTGCATAATAAATTCAAAGTTTTGTTTGGTTTCCCAGGTACCTACTTCACTCAGTCAACACCGGACCCACAGTGCTGCTGCTGTCACGCCTCAATGAGTCAAACTAACACTGCTTTGAACTGTGATCCAGTTTGTCTTAAGTTGCTTGGCTAAGTGGGCTTAACTTACAACTCGAATCATTAGGTTTTAATCAGCCTGTAAACATTTCCGACCTCAGGGAATAATTAATTATAAGAAAATT